ATAAAGCAAAAAATTTAAAAAGGCTTGACGTTGGGTCATGACTACTTGCAACAAACTTTTTTCAAAAATCTAACCCTGTTGAATTATTGTTGGCAAGGCTTGGTCACTTTCGATTACAATGGATTTCATCTGACTTAGACACTGATTTCCCAGAGATCCTCTGAAAAACCGGTTTGAAAAATTTTTCCAAAAAATGTTTCTGCGTATGAAAATTTAGACTAAACTGTCCGTCCGCTTTCGATTGCCAAAAAACGGTAGGTCTCTGTTTTTCACCGTCTTTGAGTTGTTTAAAAATAACAACTTTAGAAATAAAAGTGTAAGCTGCTAGAGTAATACTAATTAGTATCAAGTAGCACTAATTAGTTATAAATTAATAGCGAAAAAGATTTTGTTTTTAATTTTTTTCATGAAACTATAACTGCAGATCATTGGCTGTCAAACTACGCTAGAACGACGTTTCTACGGCTATTTTTGAGTGAGTTGTAAGCATTTTAGAAACAGAACTGGTAATTAAAATTTAAACTTAATTAATTAATAACTCTGCGAATACTTATCAGTTCTACCAAAGAACTTAAGGATATACGTAGTCAGATATCCTCTTTAAACTGACAAAGTTTGAGGGTAATAGGAGATGTGGAGCCGTCCCTTAAGGAAGGGATTGACATGTTAAGAATTTGTATATTCTCGCTTTGTTTCTGATCGAAAAATAACCAAGTTGACTGGAGATTCCAGCTGCTGTTCATTTCTGCGACAGTATCTCATGAGATACACAACCAGGCGGCTTTTTGAAATCAAATCAAATATTTCCCACAATGTTTTTGTCTCTGTGTAAATATTGATAGATACTGCCAGTGATAAGAGAAAGATCGCCCATAGTGTCCAAAGATTGATTAAGAGAAGGTATAAAAGTTAGTTGTTTGAAAAAAAGAGATTTATGAACAATAACTTTTTTGAAAACTTTGCTTACGTTTGATATTAAAGATACACAACGACGGTATTTTACTAGAAATTTATTGTCTTTTTATGTATACTCTGAATTATTGATTTACTTCAACGTATAAAAATACACTTGATTGGAGAGAAACAGAAAAAAATGGTCTATCCAGAGCATCAACTGTTTCTAGAATGTATTCAGGCTACGTCTCAAAAGAGATATAAATCCATACTTTCAAATGTATCTGTTTTTATCGATTATAAAGTATCTCTTTTGAGACACGAATATTTTGGCAAGAAATTGCATTTCTCAAAAGAGATACAATTAATTATAGATTCTCTCATTTCGCAAAAGAGATATACTATCGGTTGCTTCATGATTGAAATCACTTTTTTTTATGATTATTAATTTGATTTAAAAAGTGGTCACAATCTGGAAGTGAAAATTTTATAGTAGAAAATGTGATCTCAATTTGGAATAGAAAATTTGTTCTGTTCGCATACTTTCTACACTATCTATAATTTCGAATCATTCTTTAATTAGAAATGATTGGCTACTGCAGACATAGAAACTGATTGAAATATTTTTCAAAACTGATACCTAAAACTAAATTGAGCTGAGAATGACATTACTGGATCGGGTGGGACTATAAATATCAAGAGTAGCACTATCTTGGAACACAATATCTCAATTCGATTTCCTCTGCGAATCCTATTATGTCTACATACAACTCTACATTTTTCTCGTATCAAAACTGAAAAAAATCAAGATCGTATATTATATAAAAGTTACTTATATCATTTAAAGCGCTCAAATAAACACGTAACTGAAAAATGTACTCGTAATTTTTCTTCGTGCTCAATAACAATAAACGATAATGTCATAATTGGTAGAATTATTTCAATGGAAGCCTGGATGTAGAAGCTTATCAAGCAACATTACAATCGTTAAGTTACCGTTATATAGTTGTGTTAGGTAACGATTCTAATTTTAAAGATGATGATGAATATGAACCTAAAATATAACCGTTCTGTTTCTTGTAATCTTTCGATTGTAATATATTTGTGTGTCTGCAGTAGTCAATCATTTCTAATTAAAGAGTAATTCGAAATTTTAAACAGTGTACAAAGTATGTGAACAGAACAAACTATAGTATATCAACCGTAATATAGTATAGCAACCGATAGTATATCTCTTTAGAGATACTATCTCTCATTTTTGTACTTCCAATACAAATGAAATTAAATAAGAGGTAGAAGCAATCAAAATTATCTTAAGTAGTAATTAGTACTTATATTTAAAAAAAGTTCATTTTTCAAAAAAGGAGTTAATTTGTCAAGCGTTTGTAATTTTAATCTTCGCTGTCTTCATCGTCATCCGTGCTAATATCTGAACCACGAGAACACTTCCAAATAATTGTTTTTATTTATACATTGACATTGAAAAAGATTTTTTTGTGCAATATGGCAGAAGAGCCTTTTTTTTACTTCGCTTTCGTACAAAATCCATGATAATTTTTTGAAGAGTGAAACAACATTGCTTTGAGCAGTATTATTTATAAACATTTCGAAACAATAGCTGACGTTTACGATTTACAAACAGTTGACAAATTAACTTTTTTTTGAAAAATAATTTTTTCTTAACAATAACTACTAATTACCACTTAAGATAATCTTGATTGCTTCTACCTCTTATTTAATTTCATTTGATATAAGCTTTATTCTGTCGGATTACAAGCGAAAAATATTCCATAACAGTATTCTAAACTAAAACTATCGAAAAACATCAAATCAATTTTGTACGAACAGAGATTTGAACACATGAACTTTTCATTTGGAATATAGAAATGAGAGATAATAATATCTCTTTTGAGAAATAAAAGAATCTATAATTAATTGTATCTCTTTTGAGAAATGCACTTTGTTGCCAAAATATTCGTGTCTCAAAAGAGATACTTTATCATCGATGAAAACAGATACATTGTAAAGTATGAATTTGTATTCTCTTTTGAGATGCTACGTGTATTCTGTAATGTAAAGGAATAAGGAAAAATTCATAGCATTGGTAGTTTAAATAATGTCAGGCTCTGCGACAAATTTCAGTAATCATACACGCAAATGAGCTGGACTTAGCTATTGTAATGAGTACTTAAGTTACTGACACTATTCTACTGCTATAAATTGATTATTTTTGAAGTATACATAAAAATGCATCTGTTGATTAATAGTTACTTTTCTGTGCTGATAGGTATTTTGCAAGTCTAGCATCATTTCAATAAAGATCGTCACTGCTTCGAAGAAAATTATGCTAATAGTAACTGTTATTAGGGATTTCATCAGCTTTTTTTAATTCTCGTTAGGCTGTACTATTTCTGGAATGGCCGCAGAACCTATTTGGGATGGTAACAAGGTGGAGATGATTAGCGAGAAGCTTGCATCTGATGTGTATGCTTATTACGCCAAAGACGCGAAGGAGCTGAATGAAAAAGGTGGAGCCGCGGCTACCAGTGGTGGTTTGCTTATTGGTACCAAAGGAGCTTTGCTGATTGAGACCATGCTCAACAAACGATTACATGATCAAGTGCAAGCTCTCACTCAAAAAATTACCAAGAAACCTATTCTCTACGCTTTGAATACGAGTGCTCATGGTGATCATTGTTTTGGTAATATGTACCTATCAAAAGATACCATAATCATTCAACATATCAACACTAAAACCTCTGTCTCAGAGCATCTGAGTGATGATAAAGCATTCATGATCAAAAATTTTGGTGCGGGACGTGGCATCGAAGAAATCCAAGCTCGTACTGGGGATGTCTTAGTAAAATCGGATGGAAGAATTACAATTGATCTCGGTGGCAAACTGGTTGAAATAATTGATTTCGGCTTCGCTCAAACTGGTGGCGATCTTTTTGCATGGGATGCAGACTCAAAAGTAATGTGGACTGGAAATCCAATAATAGCAGCGAAGCCTGCATTACCCTGGTTATTGGATGGACATTTGATTCAAACTCTGGATACCTTAAGAAAAGTTTATGCCTTTCTTCCTGCGGACGCACGGGTTATCCCTGGGCATGGTGTGGTCATGAAGAAGGACGATCTCAAGTGGCATATCGATTATCTTGCAGCAGTTGAGAAGAATGTACAGGCGGCGATTGACAAAGGCCTGAGTTTAGAAGAAACGGTGAAGGAAGTACCGATGCCTGAGTTTAGTGGTTATGTAGTGTTTGACTGGGTTCACTCAGGTATGAATGTGCCAGCAGCATATAAAGATTTAAGTAAGAATTGAAACAGTTCTCTTTAACAATGATTAGTGAACAGCTAAGGCATGTACGTCATTCAATCAGAGTAATATTTTTCATTTAAATTATTCTGAAAATGCAAGAGCTTATTTCATATTTTAACGCCGTACTTTAGTAATTATAGTTTGTTTATCGACACTTTTTTATTTCAAATAAACGTTATAATATTGCTGTGTGATGAATAATAAGATAGTCAACAGAATGAAGTCAATGAAAATATATGCGTTAATCCTCGTTTTGCTGTCACGCTTCCTGTTAATCAGGGCTAACAAATGAAAGATCGGAAGTTATGCTCTAGATCAATACTGAGAGATATATTATCAGCTTTTCTAGAACATTATACTATTTCTCCGTCTATTGCCTATAAACTGATATATTAGTATAATTTTTTCTCTAACAAAAACCTACCAAAACGTTTTATGTGTATAGTCATACAATATTCATCTTAGTGAAAAAGAAACTTTTCAGTTATTGTAAAATGTAAGTAACGGCACAGTAAAATTCATGAGCAAGGCAAGAAGTATTAATAATTATTCTCATGAAAAATATTATTGAAGTAAAGGAACGATTGAAAAAAGCTCGGTAAAAGAAAAAAAAGTCTCGTACTTATTCACAGACTAAGTAACAGCGTGCGTGCTCATATGGTCTTTAATGACTTCTTTTCCTTTAGTTTCAAGAAATTCTCTCTGTAAATAAATTTTTTATGCTTATAAAATAATGAACAGTTTCATAACATTAAAAACTAAATACTAAATAATAACTGAGAGGAATACCAAGTTAAATTGGTCGAATCAAATTTGATAAAGTTTCTACTGTACCACTGGTCCACGTAACTCCTATAGCAAAGAGGTCACAGCATGACTTTTTTTCCTCATTTTGTTTCGACTATAACTCCGAAACTAAAAGTCTTAGAGAGTTCTGAGACATTTTAAATTATAGAAAAATCTGTTTTCTACATTTTGAGATCCGATCAGGCTCTAGGAAACCTATCTTTTAAAAACTGTAGTCAAAATGCTGAGATTTACACCTTTGCTTGCAATTCTTAAAAAGCAGGGCTCAGCATTTGGAGGGTACTTTTATGAGGATAGGTTACCTAGAGTAACAGATAGAGTTATCATATAGATCTTAGTCGAGTAACAGATGAGTTATCATATAGATCGTAGTTTTGGAGCTTTCTCTCTCAGTTTCACAATTCATCACGCCTATTATATATCATTCGAAAGCTCTTTTTCTTCGACATATTTCTTTATATCACATATACGGAAATAGTCGTTCTGAGGCTAATTATGTTTATTGAAAATATGTCGAAGAAAAAGAGCTTTCGAATGATATATAATAGACGTGATGAATTGTGAAACTGAGAGAGAAAGCTCCAAAACTACGATTTATAATATATATACTAGATGCAGTAGAAACTTGATCAAATTTGATTCGACCAATTTTTTCCAATCGTTTAGAAAAGCAAGTTTTTGCAATGGTAAGACAAATCGCAATATTGTTCGAAATATAATTTATTAGAAATATAATAACTATTAACAAGGGATCCTGCCCAAGTACCGGACAAAATTTCAGATCGAAAGTCGTTCATTCGATTTTTCTAAAAATACTTTGCCAGTTGGCAGAATAAGAAATAAGTTTAGAGTGAGCACCTCCTCGAATATATAAAAGATGATACTCCGTCTTTTTATATTAGATTTACTTTATATATAGTTTGCACATACATAACAAGACAAGGTAGTAGATAAACACCGTAATATCCTATCTGAATATCATCGGAAAGTAATGGTAATGCAGAAAGTTTTCTGAAAGTTCGTCCGAAATTTTCATCGAAACTAAAGCTTTTGTATACTGAGACTGAGCAGCGATATTGGCAGTTGTATAACTCAAAAACTGGTCGGTATCTGTTCCGAAAAAAACCGGACTTTGAGTACAACACGTAATGCTAACGACGTTTGTCTTTGGAAAATGTCTAACTATTTTTGTTCGTTGAATATCGATCGTTATCATTCCGATATGAGGAAAGCTTTTAGACTCGGTTTCTTTTTACATCATATCGTGATTACCAAATCGGATAAGATGACTTGTAAATGGAAAGTTTGGAAAAGCTAGAATTTCCTCGATGAAACAAGTCATTCCAGCGCAACTTTGCGATCCCTTATCTTTCCTCTAATACCCATTTGCCATTCGACTGACCTTAAGTTTTTTGACTGCTTTGATGAAATTGACCGCATAATCATTGTGTTCTGCCATACCATTATGCTGAGCAACACATTAATTTAGACTCAATAAAATTTACTATAATAATTAACTATTCATTCTTTAGCGTCACTTGATTTCTTGTTTTTGAAAAAAGAATAACTCACTTTCTAAATCGAAGGATACAAAATATTTATCAACATAAAACTAATAAAATCGATATTCTATTCAAATATGTTCGAATGGCATTTAATCGTGAAATGTTTTTAATAAGTATCTATTTTAAGATTTTCAATGTTTCAAGGTAACCATGTTTTAGGCAGACAGTAAGGCAACGTACTGTTCACTTCATTAGAGAACTGGCAGATAAAAAAGTCGTTATTTTACTCCTTAAAGAGCACAAAAGTTTTGAGTGCAAGCAAATGTGATATGTTTGACGAATTAATTAGTTACTAACATATAATAAATTAATCAATGAAAAATTATTATATGACGAAAAGGTAACACCAAGTCTGTTGGTTTCTCTATGTATCAGTGTAAGCATAGAAAGAAAAAACCACAAGAGACGAACAAAAAGTAGCCTATATAATATAAAATTTTATTATTTAACTAGACGACATAAACAGATGCTTTACTTTCTCGTTACTGATTTTCATGCAAATTGCGACATAAAATGAGAAAAAATGAATAAGTAAGTTGAATACAGCGTAGTGTAAAAATATTTCGTCTTTGCAGAGTTACTGCGGCCGCCAGAATATAGTGCAGGTGGCGACCTTTCAACAGAAAAGGCGACAAAACTCAGATACAATGAACTCCACTTTCACGACTGTACTGTAATCCAACAAGCAAAATATAACTTTTAAAGTAAATTTGCCTCAGCATAATCATATCTTTGACATGATTGTTATTGTGTTCTAATTGTATTGCTATATGAAACGACTTTGGCATAGCAAGAGCAAGGCTCATATCGATCTGTAGAAAACTGCTTGATATAGGAGCAACGGAGTTGAACGTGGTGAGACAACGCGGGATGTCAATTCAGAGAGTACAAAAGAATTTTTTTCGTTATATGACCAACATCAACTAAATATCTGACTGACATGATACCATCGTGTCATATTATTCGTGCACGACAGTGTGGCTGTTGATTTGATTTATCGTACAAAAAAAACCTTACTTTTAAAGTGAATGGATGTTTGAGAAATGCGTCGTATCCATCTGGCTTTGTAGGATTTTTTTCAATTGTTATCTATATTATGTTTGTGCAAATGAAGAGCATGTAGGAACCACTGCGAAAATAAACGAGAATGAGACGCAGCTACTGTTACTTATCGCGGTCGAACGGTTCAAAATGAAAACAAGATATTTGCATCACATTTGGAGTGAACTCTCCTAAACTGTTAATAGTATCAAAAAATTTCATTTAGCTAAAAACGAGACCGACAGCAGTCTTTTGCTTGCACGATATTAGAATCTCTCTTCTGGGGTGATTTGTCGAGTAGGCTTATAAATCTGGAAAGTGCAGTTATCGCGATATATATGTATGAGATTGCAACTACCAGTTAATACCTGCGTCGACAGGAGTGGATTACTACGATATTTCATTGAGTATTTCCGAGGGGTGTTTACTAGACCAGAGGGATGATTTTAAGGGAAGTCGAAATCTTTGCTCTATCATAAAACTGTTATAAAAACAGAGTCAGAAGTCTGTGAAAAAAGATTCAGTAGGTATCTAACCGGCATCAGTATACATACTTTGCAACTGGTGATTGTCGACTAACTAAATCGAATAACTAACGCTTCAAACCATAGTGGTACAAAATAGCTGCTAAACAATTAATATTAATTACAAAGCGAAAAGTTTGATTTTTCTGAACAATTCGAACATAAACAATTAATCAAAGATATGATCACTGCTTTAGAACAACATAAATCCTATCGTCATCGCTGTAATTGAGAAATGTACTGAGTAATGTCGAAAATAAAAATGTCGAAAGTAGAACTGTCGAAAAGTTCGAAGATGGCAAGGATAAAATCTTGGTAGAGTTAATGTGGTAAAAATGGTCGAATGAAAATTGGCCGAGCTGACTATGTGGCATTTTATCAATTGTTTAAAACAAGAAGAAATATATTTCCGTCATCAAGTAATACAATGCGAGTTGGTGCAGCTGGAAGACCAAAAACAAAAAAGACAAATTGTGTACAACGTCGTATTGATACTCTTGCTGATCGTTATACAAATGATGAAATAAATTTAGAAGGTTTATCATTTGTTGTTGCTAAAGATAAAACAAAAAAATAAAAAAATGATTGATTGTTAGATATTTTTTGTTAAATTACTGTTTGTACAAAATGATTAAAAATATAGTTTCGTCATTTTTCCTTTCCCCCGACAACATTATTGCTGCTAAGATCTTACCCCTGCCATCTTCGAACTTTTCGACATTACTCCGGCATACCTAATTGAGCAATTATCCTGAACAGGTTTTTTAGTGTTGTTTACTTTTTGTATGTTTGATTTTTACTTTTTTATTATTGTATCATGTTGATAAGAAGGACTAACACCACCCGCAAGAAATAAAAATTTTATTCAATTATAACTGAAAAGTGTACTTCACATACGGACTTAAACAGCCGGGAGTGCTTAATAATCTACTTTTTTGGGATAAGCTCTGGTACTCGTTTGTTAATTCTCTATAAAAAAATTACTTCAAAGAAGTTACTCGGTCACCTGAGCGTATTATACAATAGTACTGACATAGTATTTACAAGAGAATAAATGGACAAAAGA